CTTTATATGGATAAATAGATAGGGGACTTTGAATAATACTTTTGAATATTACACAAAATTTAAAAGACTTAATTCGAAAAAATATATACATGAGATTGACGTTATAATATATGTATTAAATAAGGATAAATTTATTGATAAAAACTCTCTAATATGATAAACATTTATTAATAAAAGAATAAATGATACGGAAATGATTTTTAAACTAAGTATTTCAAACGAGTTTGATTCATAATTAAAAATAGAAAATACAAATTATATTAAAATCATATGTATCGTCATAAAAATAGTTTAATATATATATATAATCTCATTGTAAATATATATTTTGCAACTTATATCTCGAAGCCTTGATAAATTCTTTTCATAAATTTTGTATACGCACATAAGCAAATCTTAGTTTTATAAGTTTAAACGAGATGATTTCCTATCGTTTTCTTTCCTCAGTCCAGCCCCGATATCGCGATTTACTTTTCTTCGACTTCGACCGACCAGAGACTCGTTAACGCGTTCAATATGCGGGTAGCTTTTATACGGGTCTTAATGAAAGACAGTTGTGAATCTTTCAAATACTTCACCGCGAAAGTCGACAGGATAGAAAAACTTTTCTATGGCTCAATCAAGATCTTGCAACGCGCACGCTTCGAGAAATTTATGTAAGAAGTTACGAGTTACACAGTAGTTTGAAAAGATGCAGGAAAGTGCGTTCGGTAAGTTGCGTGTTAGGAAAATAATGTGACAAAGATTATTAAACACATTCACCGAGAAGGCTAAAAACGAAGTTAAAATTTCCGTCCGTAGTTCTTTGTTGTGTTTTTGAATACATTCGAGAGAAAATAGCATTCGTCTACGCAGGTGCACATCTGCGGACAAATGTGTGTGTGTGTGTCGAATGCACGACTTCAAGCTTCAAAGAGAGCGCTTCAAAGAGTGAAAGACATCGTTTAAAGCACCCTCTCGTATCGTATCAACATCGAGCACTATATTCGCCCTTCAACAAAGAGCATTCCGCAAAAAAAGCAACGTGCGTATACATATGTATACGCGCCAATTAGACAGCGATTCAAATATAAATTAATTAACAGATATTATTAAGTAAACATTTCACTCACGTAGTTTTGCCAAAGAAGATAAGAGCGATAGGACAATATTTACAATCCGTTCGTTAATGAATATTCAGTCACGAATCTATGTATATGATAATTCTCGTCAACTTATGTTTACTCAAGATTTATAAGAAAATTAAATATTTTCTATAATAATATATAATTTTCTCTCCTTCTATATATCTTTTAATAATATATATAATTTTGTAATATGTTAGTACAAAACATTTTTCATAAATAAAACATGTAAAATAATAAACAGTAATTCTTTAAAAATTTATGAAATAAGTATATGATAATTTCTCAACAATCTGCCAATAATTATCTTACATCGAAGATTAAAAATAACATTGTTCGCTATAAAGACTTTTATGAATAAGCACGTCATATTGCATTATTTTATCTCTCAAAGCAAAAAGGTACAAAAGAGGCCGGGATAAAGAGGAGAACGATCACCGCGGCACAATCTTATAATTAAAATTCTATTCTATTCCGCGAGACGGAAACTGAAGAAAAATACTGTCGGATTGTAACTGAAGTGGAAATGCAAAACGCGGCTCGATAAAAGTATATCCTTAATTTTCTTCTGTTCTCTCTCTCTCTCTCCCCCTCCTTTCTTTATTCCAAAGTCAGTCAAAGTTGTCTGCTGTGCTATTGCACGATTTGCTTATCTTATTTATTCGGAATTTCAAAGAATTTCTCGGCACAGGCACGACAGTAATATCCGTCCATACTGTCGAGAGTAGCAGGAAATAACGAGTTTTTCTTCTCCCGAGGCGTGCAATTCGTTTAAATAAAGTCGGAATTGCCGCTAGACGACTGTCGACTTGAAGACATAAGTCACTCTGGTTTTATTACCGCTTGATTGACTTTCTTCTCGTAAGAAAATCGAGTTCCGTTTACGAGAATTTGTTATAATAAAGTCGTATTCAAAAAAAGCATCTTATATGGGCATAAAAAGATTTACCGATATCATGCAAGAATTAAACAATTTCTCACTCACCGACACGTGCAACAGCAAAATTGTAATACATATATCAGAATAGCCGCATTGATCTGAAAACAAAATAATCAAATTATGTAAAATTATATGTATATACATGTGTGTACATATAGATACACAAGGGTATTTTGAAAGTCGGCAAATAATCGAATATCACATAAATAAACAATGTAATTGTTATTTCGCATACCTCACAAATACTCCGTTGTTGCCCGATGCCTCCCCCGGGCCTCCTCCTCCTCTCTTGGTAGCACTCACGACACTCGCGAAAACACGAATAATTACGATCGCCCGACACTTTACACGGCACTCCCGACGCGCAACACTTTACACGGCACTCCCGACACGCGAAACTTTACACGGCACTCGCAATGCTACCTGTAACAGATCAAATATATGCATAAATTGGAATAATCTTATTATTTCACATTATAACATATACAATATAAATACGTAAACTATAGAATTAATGATATAAATATATCATGCATTCAGTTTGTCTCAATATATTTATTTAAATTATTAAGAACTCTATAGAACTATTGAAAATAAAGCCAGAATTCTTAATTATTTATAATAGCAAATTCGATTGGATGCACCAGTGCGCACTGAGTGCATATAAAGGTTTATCACAGACAAATTCACAATGATACAAGTAATTAAAAAAGGAAAATAATTAATAGTAAAAATTATTATTATCATTATTCATATTGAACAACAATAATAATAGCACTTACTACTAATTATTTTCCTTTCTTAATTACTTGTGTCATTGTGAACTTATGTGTAATAAACCTTTATATACCCTCAGTGCGCACTGGTGCATCCAATCAAATTCACTATATATAAGTTTCCACGAACGTTAGTTTTACACACACACATGCAAGATTTACCTTGTAATAAAGAAATAAAAATAACAGCTAGAATAAATAAAAAATAAATTCAAATAATAAATATAAGAATAAATATCTCCTGAAAATTGTTCTCCGAAATATTGAAATTAATGGAACAAAAAGAAAGTGTCGTCAGAAAGAACACATTAATTCTCATAAAGTTATACTTTATATATTATTAATGTCAACATTTTATTTTAATATTTAAAATTGCAATTTGGAGTGAGATTGAGATCAATCGGTTCGATTGATTAAACGAGCGAAAATCCATATCGTAACGCGCCTCTATACCTCTATGGTATATGATAATCGTTCGCGCGCGCCGTTTGTTTACTCGATAAGAGAGCAAACACGATTCGCGCGTGTTTGTCCGTGATTGTGTCCGAGGGTATACAAGCTGCCTTAATTCTCTATATGGTCTATAAATGTCTACTAAAAACCCAAGCACCTACGTTAAACTATCGTTTATACGGCTATCTCGTTATATTGAGCAAAATTTTGAAAGCGCTACCGGCGGATAATCAACGAGAGATATGCACAAATATTATAGACAGGCAATCAATGTAATGAGCACGTCGCGTTTGACGAGCGACGACGTAGTTTCGTAGAACAAACAAGCATATATGGTCGCAAATGCGTTCTCGTGCGTGACGAGGATAAACGAGGAAAATTGAAAAACCGAGGCAGACTAAAAGCCCCTGAAATGGAAACAACGTCTCGTATAATTCGGGGCGAGTCCTGTGACATAAGCTGGCTCACTCTCTCTTTCTCCTTCTCTCTAGCCACTCTATATGTAATAATATATTTATTGTTGTTACTCTAGAGCCCTACCTATCTCTACCGACTATTATTACCGCTTTATATGAATACCATTACGGCGCGTTGTGTTAATAATGTCTCGTAATGGACACATATTGATCGGTCGCAATATTACGTAATATCACGGCAATGAATTGTTCACGAGAATGTTGCGTTATGTCGTATTATTATCATCATGCCATGCGTAGAATATTATACAAACAGAGAAACAAGCATGAATAGTAAGTAACTGCGTATGCACATACATATATCGCGTGCACTTATGTCAACGATAAATTAATTTGGGTGTGCGATCGAATTCTGCATGCGTATATAACAGGCGAAAAAGATTCTGGTAGATATATATACAGAGAGAGAGCGAGAGAGAAGGAGGGAGAGAGACGAATTTCGATTAATCAACAACGGTTGTTCAATTACGTAAATTTCAGCGGCGATGACTATTAGATTCAATCAGACGGCTTTTAAACTTTAAATGCGGTTAAGCGAGAGACTAACGAATGCACTTGTGTCGCGTGTAATCACGCTCGAGAAAAGATTGGTAGGTAGGTAAAACCAAGTATTTTTACACAAATTAAACATATTTAATTAATGCGCGCGTGCACAGCATTTCGAGCATTTTCATCGTCAAAATTATTATCTTACGACATAGCCATTTTCGATTCGAAATTACGCGCTTATTAATCGCGTTGACATTTAGCCCACGCTCATTATTATTTTATTTTACATCTCGATCGTTATTATTTTCTTCAAACACGATAATATGAAAGAACAAACGTTGGAAATGTGGGAATAAACTAAAAATTAATGTTAAATTGAAGACTCGTGACGTAAATCGAAATAATCGCAAATCTCATTATGACCTTTTAAGTATGACTGTCGCGAGTATAATATTGAGTTTGATTTAATTCATTGTAATGCAAAACACGTTTAACAACTATTTAATATCCCATATATTCCATTAATACTTGACATATAATGTCACATTGTACAATCAAAGTCGCGCTATCACATCGGACCGACATTAATCTTGCACGACGATAATAGTCGCATTATGACGATTAAATAATAATTCACAACTGTGTTATATACAATATGTAGATTTATTTATTGATTCTCTCTGTGCTAAAATATATTTTCCACTCCTTTAGATTTTCCAATTCGTATTTTATTTATTTTCTTTTAACCTCCGCATCTGAATATCTTTAACATCGCTAATAGATAAAATATCGAGTTCTCAATCGTTAAAGCGATTGCGTGAGAGCGCATTGGCAAGAGAAAGCTTCGATGCCCGAAGCAAATTGCCGATTACAATGCAATGTTTAACCCCAGTATACAAGACTATTCAGTATCAAGTTCTCTATAGTAGAATCAAGTACGGAATCTCTATAGAAATTCTTTCATTCTATTCCTTTGTTTCCACATTGCCAAAATTACCACTAATTTTAGAAAAATGCTTCAATTATATAAATATAAAAACTTTTATTTCTCTTCTAAAAATATAACAAAAATGTTATCTACAATTTATAGTACAACGTATAAATTTGGAAAATCAAGAAAATCAATTATTCAAATTATTTATAACAGAATTATTTTTTTTATATCTAAGACAAGACTATAATAGAGTATGAATTATTTACACACATTTATATAGAGCACATGTGATTATATTGATAAGTTTGGTTGTATTTCTAATTTGCAATATACTAATCGTACGATTAATTTCAAGAAAATGATAAATTTCCCAAACAAACATGTTATCTCTTATTCTCCATCAGAGAACGGTTTAATTCGCGAATTTTATTGCACAGTTATTTGGCGCAATTTCACGCGCACACATGTATACACCTAAATATATGTACACAAACTACTATTGAAATAAACGACAAACGCACATTCGCCTGCATCCGCGATGATAACGTCAAACATCACAATGTCAACGCGTTGAAATGTCAGTCGAATCCTGCGACAGGTTGTAAAACACAAGCGAACGAATTCTTCGAAAACTCACTCGAGCAAGTTTCGAGTGACTGTCATCAGCAGCTGATCGCTATGCGGTCAAGCTTTTTAGCGGGTCTTCCGGCAGCCGAACGTGGCCGATATATAACAAATGATTTTGTCCTCGCCCGCGATTTATGGGGCGCGTCATAAAAAGATCCCGCCGGAAAAACCGTCATTTGACACGCGCCAGTTTCTTTGTCGATCACTCTCACGCAATTTCTTGTCGTCATTTAGGGGCCACAAAGGGAGAGAGGGAGAGAAAGAGGGAAGCAAAATAGAGAGGGTGAGAAATAGCGAGAAACATAACACGATAGATGATAGAGCGAACGTCAATGACACATTAATCGCACCAATAGAAGGCTATAAGTTATTATGCGCGACGTACATTGATTACCAATCAATATTTAATCGTCGGCTATTCACGGCAAATTTATGAATAACTCGTACTTTAGGTTATATAGGTACGTGGCCCTACGACCCAATATTGTGCGCATCAATATATAATTATTTACTCACCGCGTTTGTCGATAAAGTTTGCCCGCGCGTCAACCGCGCGACTATTGTCCGCGACTATACTTGAATCTATGTATGTGGAAACTGTAATATATTCCCAGTCTCGCAGTTTAACGTTACGTAATAAATCATCAGATACAGGAGACGTAAATGCACAGTTTCCAGCGACTTGTGCAATGTGGTTTGCCCAACGCGCAAAACGATTTTATATATTTTCTTTAGCTTGTGTGTAGCAAAAATACTCATAAAACAGTTTTAAGATAAAGATAAAACAGAGAAAATGAGCAAAAACTGTTGCGAACCTTTTAGAAGCTCGCGATATGATTTCCTTTCGTTTACCGTAATGAATCGCGACTTTAGACTGAACTCTTTGACCTATAAGAATTCAGAGAGTGACTAAGACTTTATTTTTGCTCCCCTAACAAATGTTCGAAAAAGATATCTTTTGTACGGCTGCTAGCGATCAGCTCATGCTGATATCGTTGCAATAACACGTTCAAATGTTAGAAATGTGGCTATATATTTAACAATTTATTTTCTCATAATATATAAAAATTAATTTGATATATAGTTTTAATATATAATGCACAAAATTATATGTAAATTAATATGATCAATTATATTTTTCATTATATAATTACATAAAAATTATATGTTATTATAATTATGCAATAAACAATTATATTCAAATTTAAATTGAAGATGAATGAAATATGTATATATTGTATAGGTTAAAATTATATAAATATAGATTCTTGAAATTCAATGCAGTATTAAAAATTAAAATGAATGAAATGTAATACAGTATTTTGAAAAATGGTGTAATAAATGATACCATTCATATTTAGGATATGTTGAAACATAAACTGCGGAACAATAGTGCCAGATGACTTTCAAGCGCTATCCGTTTCTGTACAACAAACAAATGAATAACTATGTCCACGGTTGGGGATGCTGGAAGCGGAAAGCGTTAAAGAGCGCAAAAATGATCGGCTTACAATTCGCGCTAGAACAATAACAAGCTCGAGAAATTGCATGTGCAGTTAAAGGTCCGGGGGATATATCGGGATCCCCGACGTGCCACGTCGCGCCATCGATCGATTCGAATCACTGACTGTACCAGTCGCGCGCTGCAAATCGCGTTTGATCGTATTT